GTTGACCCACCCCTCTGAAAACAACATAGAAATGATTTGATTCCTCTCTTCAAAAGTGAAAAAGAAATCAATACTAAAAACTAAGACTAAAAGCTATCCTTTGAGGAAAGGTTAAAGCGTCTGGGACTTTTTTAGTTTAGAAAAACGGTGTGCAAGAGCTGACTTGGCAGAAGTTTGTAAGATGATGCATGCTGGGTAGAGAGTGGATAGAACTTGTGGACCTCCAGTGACACTGAATGTTGAAGATTCAAGACAGACCAAAGAAAAGACATTGTTTATTAAATTTATATACCGCCCTATACCTGTAGCTCTCAGGGCAGTTCACAACATAAAATCACAATATAAAAAACACAAAATACATAATAAAAACGAAGACAACCCCATAATCCCCCCATTCAGGGTATAGTAAAACTACGAACTCGTTCCCACAGGAGGCAGCGACGGCCACCAACTTGGACGGCTTTAAAGGGGATTAGACAAACCTATGGAGGAGGGTTCCCGGTTTCTGTCAACTGGAATAGGGCTGCTGCTCAGCAGCTATTTCTGATACCTCAAATCACTATGAGTTTGTATTGAATTGCATTGATGCATTTGCTTTTTGCTTTATTTATATGCTAGTGCATGTTCAAAAGTATTGTGGTGGCTGTAATGTTTGTTAATTTTAAATGCTGCCGTTATCAACTGCTCTGAGCGCAACATTTTGTTGTTTTGGAAAAGCGGAATACAAATAGTAAATCATCAACAACAACATCAATTAAAAAGTAGGTTCTAATTGTGCTCTGAAGCAGCTAAGCTACCCTCATGAAGACAAGGAAGCTGACATTTGGTGCACTTGTTGTTTTATACACATGCTTCAAAATGTAGAGGCAGAACCCTGAGATGGTGAGATGGATGGGAAAACTTCAGGCTGCTGGTGAGTAACCCCATTTTTGTATATTCCTCATGTAAAGCAAGAAGCAAAATCAAAGTCACACTGGAAAATACAGAACTAGTCTGTCAAGGAGAAAAGTCCTAAATCAGCCAGCTCCCTGCTCTGCTAGCTTTTTTAACACCCCAGAGTTTTTTCCACAAGGGAGTTTTGCAAAATGCAATCCTTCCACCTGCAGTCTAAAATACTACAATTTCTACCACCTCATTCCCACCTCATTTTGCTACAACTGAAGAAAAGGCCAAATTTTCTATGTGGGATTAAAAAAAATCCTAAAGGAAAGAATTGGGCGAGCACCAAACTACACTTGAGTGCTTGGAGCATTAAAGCACTCCAAGCGAGTTTTCCCAAGAGCTGGACTTAATGGTCAAAGGGCTTTATGCCAGCTCTCCCGTCTCCACCTCCCAAGCTTTTGTTCTAAAAAACCTGATTGTGGTGGAAGGAGAATAGATAAGAACAAACTGCCTTATGCTGAGTCAAACCACTGGTCCACCTTGCTCAATGTTACCTTTTTCATACAAAGCTATATAGTTAGCATAGGCATTAGCAGCACATTCCATTGGGGTGTGAAACCCAGGGAATCTTGCAAAAACACTCAGGGTGTACGGCTTGTGGGGTGCTCAGGTGCGTCAAATCAAGCACATCCTTAAGTCTGCTTGGAGGGGTGAGCCCTGTTGCTTGAGGTGATGAGCAATGCAGGGCTGCCACATGCAAGCGCACCATAAATGCAGCCCCCCCCCCCTGCACAAAGAGTGGTGGGCAGTTCTCACAAGTCAGCTAAAGTGCGCTCCCACTCTTGCAAGAACAGCTTCCCCATGCCTCTTCTGCCTGTATGCACCACGATGCTCATGGCTTGGACAGACAAGGCAGTCTATCCCATTTTGCCACCCCTGCCCACTGGTGGACCAGCCTTGTGGATAGAGGTGGGCATGGCTGGGGGTGCAGCTCACTGGAAGGTGCAGAGAAGCAGCCTGTTAACCACGATGCACTGCTACAACTGAGCATGGGCAGGGACCTGCACAGCCACTCTTTATTATTTAGATATTAGGGTGGGCCCGGGCCCAGCCAACGCCCCCCCCCAATGCACACACCTGTGATGGGAAGGGGCAATAATCCCCACCTTAACAAAAAAACCAAAAACGCTTAAGGACACAGTATTTCACACACTGTTAAAGGGTTTTAAAAGGCAAAGGTAAAAGGAAAGGGTTAGTTAAAAATTCTATCTGAAACTAAACAAAAAATAGTAACACCATGACTATATGGCCATGCTTTCAAATTCATGTCTTGGAATATTACTATCTTAGAAGATGAAGAGACCAAAAAGGCAACTGGGTATTTTGAGCTCTACTTGTGAAACTGGGAGGAGTAAGGTAAGTCAATGAGGAGCACCAAGTGATTTCAGGCAAGTCAGGCTTGATCAGGAAAAGGGGATGGGGAGGGAAGAGGGAGCATTTTCCTCTTCATGGAATTGTAGAGTTGGAAGGGACCACAAGGGTCATCTAGTCCAACCCCCTGCAAGTGGGGCTCAAACTCACAATAGTGAGATTAAGAGTCTCATGCTCCACCAACTGAGCTATCCCTTCAATCACTTTTGTGTCATGTATTTTAGACCAAAACCCTGAGAGAGGAACTGCTCTTTTTCTTTATTGGTCGGTAAGCTGCTCTGGGAGCCTTTTGGCTGAAGAGCAAGATAAAAACAAATAGTAAATTTTGAGAATATAGTAGTGAAAGTAACATATAAATATACAGATTGTAGCTGAGCAAATAGCTTACAAAAATGGCTTCCAAAAATGCATACATTAGACAAAATACATACTAAAATGCTGATGAATTTTCATGAGGACTTCTTTAAAAAAAAGAAAAGTCACAAACTGATGTGGAAAATCTATTGTGCTGAACTTAAGGCTGGCAAAGTGAGGAAGAGAGAGAAGCCAAAACTGATGGATTCCCCCATCTCTCACTGCAAATACTTTGAACTGCTTTTCAAAAGCCTGCTTTGAACTGTTGCTAAGAAAGGAAAACTTGCTCCCCCCCCAATTCATCTTTAACCCTAAAAACAAACACACACTCTTTGTGGCTCTTAAATCAACAGATGGCAAACTGCTACTGAGTAGAGGCAAGTGTGAAAGTGGCGGCAGTGCTGGGGGGCGGGTGCTTATGAAGTTGGTTCGGTGCAAAAAGAGAGGTTCTGCAAGCTTGTTTTCCTGTTCTCATCTGTCAAACATCAGAGGGCCTTTGGATCTTCCCTGGTTTCGACTGAAGCAAACAGCCTTGTGTTCCAACCACACTCTTTGAGCAACCCAGATTACAAATGACGACTCATATTACTCAATGCAATCAACATCAAAGCTTCTTCCCTGGTTCCACAGATCTCAGCTGCAAGCACCACTCCCATGAGCCTACCTGCTTTCAATACATCCCAAACACGCTCCCTTGTGTCATACACTGGCATCTGAAAAATTACGGCAGACCCAAGTGAGTGGCAACCCTGATTGATGGCTGACTACTGTGATTCCTCACAACTACTCATTCCCCATCTGCAAGTCACAAACTCCAATTCCACAGCACCGCCAAAGAGAATTGCTACTACAAACATCTCCAAGGCAGACACATTGTGGAAAGGCACTTACAGGGCCAATTAGGTTCAAGGTTAACCTAAGAGGCAAGACCTCTTCATCTCTATCATGGGAAGCCAACATAATGCCCTTCAGATACTGGGGAACATAACTTCCAGCAACCCCAGCAAGGCCAATGGCCCAGGGCTGATGGGAGTTGTAGTCCACAACGAATGGAGGGCAATATGTTGACAACCCCTTTGAGAGAGTAAGGCCTGGAGACACATAATAATAAAAACTAACAACAACAACAACCAGAACAGCAGCGTGAGATGCACTAGGTTGCTATACACACGTTCGCAAGCGATAAGCCATCCAGAGGTTAGGTTAGGTTAGGTTCATCAAATGTATGTATTACATCCCATTACGAAATTCCTCCAGCTATTTACAACCAAGTAAGAAATACAATAAAATCACATCAACATATTAAAAACGGTTTTAACAATGCAATCCAGGAAAATATGTATTTGCTTGGCATCAAAATGAGGACAAGGTTGCTGCCTGGTGGGCCTAACATGGGAGAGAAAAGGCCCATTCTCCCATGGCCACCCCCAAACCACCTGTGGAAGGCTTTTTAAAAATGTTTTTAAAATGTTTTAATATTATTCATTATATTTTAGACTCTTTGCTGTTTTGTTAATGCTTGGATTAACTGGCCAGTTTTTAAAACAACAACACTTATCTAATTATTTTTTTTACATTTTTCTTGTTTGTAACATGCTATTTTGTGTCTTATTATATTTAAGCTGCCTTCCAAGGGATATACCCTAAAATAAGGCCCATAAATAAATTTATAGCTAAATAAAATAATAATAAATGTATTACAAGTGGCACATATTCATTACCATTTTCACCTTCCTGGGGGGGAGGAGAAATCGCAAGCATATATAAACCATGAAACATGGCCCCAGGGTCTGGTGATGTTAGAGGCATTGCCCAATAGGTGCTCTTTGAAGCTTGCTGCTCCCAAGTTGATACTCAACTGTGTCAAAAACCTGCAAATCCATCCATCCCCACCTACTGAAAAACAAACCCTCAGGATATACACCTAACCTGTACTACAAGGGTAGCAATGTTGCTATCAGATTACTCCAACATGTAAAAATACATTTTTGCCCTAAGCCATATTATATTTTCACAGTCTTCCCCATAAACTGTTCAAATAAGAGCCACCTTTGTTACAAGGCAGCAATAAGTGAGAAGTAAAATACGTACAAGTCACTTGGTTACCAATGACTCACCTGCCGGACAGGTTGGAACAATACTAGCCTATTAAAAATTTCCTCTTGGAAAGGCCAACCTGCCTCCCTATTGTTCCACCTCTGAATCAGGTGTGTAGATATTTATTATCAAAATTGCTGGTGGTTTAAGAGAGAAAGCAAGGGTGCCACCCCTGATGCTTAGTTTTACCAGCTGACAAAAACCAACCGTGTTGTCACCCTGCATTTGCAAATTACCTTTTGGAAAAAACCTGAGAGCGGTGTTTGATCGCGTTTCTTTTTCACCCTGGCTCCCAAAGCGTTCCCTCGTTCTGCCATCCTTCACTAAGAAGCCTTGCTGAACTGCTGTGGCCACCGGTCTCATCACTGCACACTCTGGTGACAGACAAAGCCCAGCAAAACATCCATGTCCGTGGACAGGAAAGCCCAGTTGAAGAGAAGGGATGGGGAAGGGAGGGGAGGGGAGGGGAAGGGAAGAAGGGAAGGAAGGGGGGAAAGACACGGGAAATAAAACGGATTCTCTGCTCTGCAGGGAACACTAAGCTATGTTGCCATGGAGAAGCGGGGAGCTGTAAAAAATGAACAGAGGTACTCCTTGGAGAGCGAGACTCTGAGGCGGCTTGCAAAGGCACCACTTTGCAGGGGAATAATCCTGAGTGAAAGGCAGGCAGCAAAAGAGGCAATGTCAGAAACAAAAAGAGTCCCAGACTGCAAGAACAAGAGGCTGGAAGGATGAAACAGTGCCCCAAATGGTGCAAAGATCTGGAGCACTGGCACTGCCCATGACAAAAGGACGCCTTTTGCTTTTTCACCTGTGGGACATTTTACTAGTTTGCAAAGGGTGGGGGTGGGGGATGACAAAGGGAGGGCAATGTTTCTACAATTAGACATAGTGTGGAAGAAAGTGGGTATTGCTTTGTTTTATTTACAGTGGTACCTCAGGTTAAGTACTTAATTCGTTCCGGAGGTCCGTACTTAACCTGAAACTGTTCTTAACCTGAAGCACCACTTTAGCTAATGGGGCCTCCTGCTGCCGCTGCACCACCAGAGCACTATTTCTGTTCTCATCCTGAAGCAAAGTTCTTAACCTGAAACACTATTTCTGGGTTAGTGGAGTCTGTAACCTGAAGCATATGTAACCTGAAGCATATGTAACCGCTGTATTTGCGTACCTTCCATTTAACAACGTCTCTAGGCAACTAATAGTAAAAAGTTACAAACCACTAAAAACAAGCAAGTGCATGAAAAGGTTAAAAAATAGAGCAAAACAACCACAGTATTAAAGTAAAAGAACTAACTAAATAAAATCAGCAACAGCAAAACATAACCCAGCTGAACCTAAAGAGGCTGAAGTTTTGTGCTTTAAAAAAAAAAGATTGGAGGTTTCTTCTTGGTACAGCCAGACATTAGGTGCTCATTTCTGATCCACCGTGGGAGCCTAATCTTTCTGGGGGAGAGTCAAGGAGGGGCAGCCCCCACCACTCCTGATCCACCCTTTTTTAACACCCCAGGGTCAGGCAGGCAGTGTACTAAGGTGGAGCCCAGTAGTAATGGATAAACTGAAAAAGGTGGCGATACCCACAAATGAATCTGGTGTGCTTAAGGAACTACTTAAGAACTTAAGAAGGACCAAACTGGAGGAGGAAGGGAGGCACTGAGGAATAGATAAGCACATTGCAGGGAGAGCAGAAATCTGAGAATACCTAAACAGCCAAGGCCCAGCCCAGCCTCACTCAGACACAGGGAAGCCTTACCCAAGGGCACGGATCTGATTTTCCAGAGCTAAGAGTCACTTGTTCTTCTCCTTACCCACTGAAATGCAGACGGGTACGTCTCCCAGAGCTTAAGAAAAGCTGGGCCAAAGGCCCATCGAGTCCAACATCCCGTTCTCACAGTGGCCAGCTCCATGTCCATGGGAGGCCAGTGGCTTTATGAAGAGAATCAGCCAGCCTTCCCCAGCTGCCACCCCAGAACTGAATTTTGGGGCAGCTGCAGACTTGCTGGCAGGCTGCTAAGCATAGGTGTGGAGAATGGCTTCCTTCTCCCTTCTCAAAGCAGTCAACCACAAAAATGAAGAACATTCTGTCCAACATTTCTACGATGAAAATAGGAATGTCCTATTCTATTATTATTATTTTTTCTTCTTCTTCTATTACTACTATTATTATTAATAATAATACCTTGCCCATCTGACTGGGTTGCCCCTGCCACTCTGGGCAGCTTGCAACATATATAAATCATAGTAAAACTATCCAGGGCTACCTTCCAATGTCTTCTAGAGGTTGTATAGTTACCTATTTCCTTGGCTTGGGGGTCACATAACTCTATATCCTCCAACGTTTCTCCGATTAAAATAAGGACTTCCTAAGGAAAAACGGGACATTCCAGGATAAAATCACACTCCTGCATTTGAATCACAAAGAATGAAACACAAAATTGCATTTTAGGTTTCCATACAATGATGTCAGACCATTCTTGTTCCTCCAGGCCAAATAAGTAAGCTAATGAAAAGGCAATTGCTGTGTGATCTTCAATTAATACTTGCAGCCATAGCTTATCTTTGTGGCAGTTTCAGTAACTCCTGCTCTCCCACAGGGCAGGGCAAACTTCCTAACCCCAGGAAACCCTAAGAATGCTGATCCCTCAGCCAATAAACCCTAAGCGTCTTTTGCAGAACCCTTGCACACTTGGGAAAGGGCCAAGGCGCAGTGGCAGAGCAGGATTTTGCATGTATGATTGGGAAGTCTTGTGCAACAAACCTGCTTCCCCAAAAGATCTGACTTTTCGCAGCGAGGAAAGTGACGCAGAAAAACCCAGAAGTGTGAGGTAATACTGGTTTTGAACCAACAGCATTTATCCTCGCTGCAAACAAGTCAGCATCAAAGCTCAATAAGCAGGTCACCCTGTGTCCTAATTCAGAGGACTCTGTGACATATTCTAGAGTGTACAGACTCCCATTTGATACCACAATAATCCCCTGTGTTTGTGTAATGCAGAGGGAAGATGACTATTGGTTGGTTCAGTCAATTAAATTAGCACTTTTATATGCTTCAGTTTTAACTCCATCCCAGGGTGGCATCCAACATAACTGGTCAACGACTAAATGACACATCAAAACAGCAGAAAAAATAAACAAGATCAAAATTTGTGCAAAACAACAACTTGGATGGCATACACAGGAAGGCTCTGGCCAAAAAGGGAGCACAATCACAAAATGATACAGGGAGAACTGAATTTACAAAATAGTAAAATGCCCTCATGGAGCTGCTCTGACTCAGAGTAGACCATGCTTGACTGGGTGGACAAATAGTTTGACTTGGGATAAGGCAGCCTCCCTAGGAAATTTAGGGCCTTTTCTGCTGTGGCAACCAGACTTTGCAACGGCTTTTCTAGCAAAACCTACCTGGCCGCATCTTTCCTCACTTTTCAGTTGACAGCTAAGAAGGAACCTTTCAAGCAGATTTTTGGAACTTGCCTCTTACCCTGAGTTACTGCTGCTTTATTAACTATTGCTGCTGTTTTAATATGACTGGAGGGGATTTAAACTGTTTTAAGCTACGACATTTGTCTGTAATGCCTTTGTTTACAATATCCCAGCATTGCTCAGGAATTCTACAAAACCAAAAAATTACTTTCAAAATTTTTGGGATCAGTGATTAAAATCAGTCAGGGCCGGCCTGCCCATGAGGCAGGATGAGGTAGCTGCCTTGGCCGGTGGAACCACAAGTGGTGGTGCCCCACGGATGCCTCACCCACCCTGCCACTTCTGCCGCCAGCAAAAAAGGTGTGGCCGTGGCATCCAGTGAGATCTCGTGAGAACCTGCCACCACCATTTTGTGGGCCGCTTGACCCAGGTAAGGAAAGCTTCCATGGCGGGGGGGGGGGAGCAGCTTCCCATTTCTCTTCAGGACAGAAATGGGACAGTCTGCCCCCGAAATTAGTGCAGTTTTGAAAAGTTCTGTCTGCCATCTCTATTCTAAATTGTGTCCAACAGTTCCCAAAGAGAGATGAAAAGCTCCTCCTAGACTTTGGGAACTATTATGAAAATTTTGATTACAATATCTTAAGAGGTGTCCAACACATAGAGGGCAAAAAGCTTTTCAAAATATATTGTAGATATTTTATACTTTCTTTTGTTCTTTTGGATACTTATTGACTGTGGCCATATCTTGACACAGAGACAGTATACAAAAGCCCCCCCCCCAAATATTAATAAAACGTTTTGTTATTTGTTCAACAAAAGCAGAGCTGGGAATGGCCGCTTACCATCTTGCCAGTGAGTGGCTGTTGCAGCCCAACACAGCACCTCCCCTTTCACCCGGACGCATGGTGCCATTTTAGGAATGTTCTTTCCGCTACTCCAGCTGCCGCGGAGGCTCATGGGTTCCTGCCAAACCCGTCCTTCAAACGAGTTAATCTGCGATGGCCCTGGAGGGGACGGGCCATGGCCATTTACTTAGCCCAGCCGACCACTCTGCACAGCATCCAGTTGGTGGGGAGCGTCACCCACCCTTCCCCTCCCTTCATTCATACTTGATCAGTGATACCTCGGGTTAAGAACTTAATTTGTTCTGGAGGTCCGTTCTTAACCTGAAACTGTTCTTAAACTAAGGTACCACTTTAGCTAATGGAGCCTCCCGCTGCCGCCATGCAATTTCTGTTCTCATCCTGAAGCAAAGTTCTTAATCCAAGGTACTATTTCTGGTTTTGAATTCTGGTGCTGGAGGAGACTCTTGAGAGTCCCATGGACTGCAAGAAGATCAAACCTCTCCATTCTTATGGAAATCAGCCCTGAGTGCTCACTGGAAGGACAGATCGTGAAGCTGAGGCTCCAAGACTTTGGCCACCTCAGGAGAAGAGAAGACTCCCTGGAAAAGACCCTGATGTTGGGAAAGATGGAGGACACAAGGAGAAGGGGATGACAGAGGACGAGATGGTTAGACAGTGTTCTCAAAGCTATGAGCATGAGTTTTACCAAACTGCGGGAGGCAGTGGAAGTCAGGAGTGCCTGGCGTGCTCTGGTCCAGGGGGTCACAAAGAGTCAGACACTACTAAACAAGAACAACAACTATTTCTGGGTTAGCCGAGTCTGTAACCTGAAGCGTCTGTAACCCGAGGTACCATGGTACTGCTCTAACCCTTTCCTTTTCAGCTAGGAGCGCTTTGCAGAGGTCTTTTGGCCGTTACCGTATTCGGAGCCAGGAAGGAATTTCCCCAGCTCTGCAGGTTTCATCTTCTCCACAGCACTAGTCACAACTCTGGCGGTTTAGGCCTTGGGTGGAATCCTATAGCCTTTCATCCACCCCCTGTTCCCTGTGGCGACATTAAAAGGGTACCCCATTAGAGGGGTCTGGAGGGAAGTCTCTGTCCATAAAGCCAAGTGTGTAGGGCTAGCGGGCCACAGAGCTTCCCTCAGCGTTTGGGGGCCATCCGCGTAAACCTGCGTTTTGTGATGGATCCACCCCTGAATTGAACCTGTCATGCCTTGATCCTCCAGCAGGGGGGCTGAGAGGGACACACGCCCAATGCCTATGCCAAAGCTGTCTGAAATCAATCAAATTGTGCCCATTTAAATCCCAGACAGCTGTTGTATCCATTCA